GAAGTTGAATTTTTATAATTTTAAATGTTACAGTTTGTCATATGATTTTGGTATGAATTTTCTAATCTTACAAAATGATAATTCACATAAAAAAATTTCTCACTAATGACATATCTCTCTTTCTCTATCATGATTTTTACAGTATTAGGGAAAAATGGTACAGTGTTTTTAAAATATATCAATGTGTTAGATAGCTGAATATGAAACATTATTTAAATTTTTCTAAGATGAACATTTTCTTGAAATCACATAATAAGTATTTCTTTGAAATTTTCCAAATATTTTGAAGTGGCCCAAGTTGAACAAAGAATAAATGTAAGTTTAAAAATTCTTATTCTTTGCCACTCAAAAATTCTCATTGCTTATAAAGTATAGAGATACTTTTAAAACTGGATTGCTTGTCTAATAATTCTTTTATTTTCAACTTTGTCAAAATATGTGGTGCATGTGTGCACATGTGCATACACAAACACACTCACAGAGAGACATACATATGTATTTTTTTTCTTGCAGTATTTCCTCCTGATTTTATCTAGATGCTCTTTGTTTAGTGAGTAAGTCTTTTTGCAACCTGATTATTTGTAATGTGTTCAAGCTCACATATATATTGAGTGCCTTAGAAATGTTCTTTGAGGTTAACTAGTTGTATCTTTCAGGTAGATTCAGTAGCTTTTACTTGTTTAAAGAAAGAAAGGGATTGAGATTTTCAAAGACCATTTTGTGTTATGTACAGCTAGACCCATTATCTCATTTATCATTCACTTCTGTCCTGTGTGAATGTTCATTTCATAGATGAGAAAATTGAGGCTCAGAGAGATGAAATATCTTACCACAAAATTACACAGGTGAGGGGTCAGGATTTGAACCCAGGTCCAGGTGACTCCAAACCTTTAGTTTTTCCACTATATCTCACTAACTCCCTGTTAAAGTAGGAATCATAAAGAAGGTAACATAGTAAGGGAGAGGACATCAAGATTAGGTGTAATCATTATCATCTTTCATGCTTATTAGGACAAATAATTGACAGCCTTTAGTAATGTCAATATACAGACAGAAATCACTTGTTGTTATGTGCCATCGAGTGGGACCCGACTCATAGCGACCCCTCCTTGGGTTGCTGAGGCGGTATCACTACGGAAGTAGATTGCCCAAACTTCCTTCCGAGGAGTGGCTGGTGGGTTTGAACCGCCAGACGTCTGGTTAGCAGGCAAGTGTCTTAGCCACTATGCTACCAGAGCTTAGTAAGTTTAATATCATTTAATTTAAATTGTCTGATTGCATCAGTTAAAATTATTGTCATGCTACCAATTTTATAGGTGAGGAGATAAAGTCACAAGAAGGTGAAAAGGAAGTAAATGGGATTTAGTAGTCATCTAGATAACATGAGCATTATTATTATTCTTTGTTTTCAGACTTTCTGACAAGAAAATTGGTTATAATTTTGATTATTTATAAAAGTTGATTATGCTACTATAATTGAATATAGAAAAAATAGATAATATACTCATATGAATCTCATTTTGGGATTAATTTACTACACAAAAAAAAAGAAAGAAAAAAAACCTCACTGCCCTCAAGTTGATTTCACTTATAGCGACCCCTCCTTGGGTTTCCCAGGTGATATCTCTACGGAAATAGATTGCCTAATCTTCTTTCTGAGGAGTGGTTGGTGGGTTTGAAATGCCAGCCTTCTGGTTAGCAGTCAATTGCCTTAGGCAAGACACCACCAGAGCTCCCAATTTACTACTTTGTTTTTGTTGTTGTTGTTGTTGTTATGTGCTGTGGAGTTGCCCCAAGTCATAGTGACCCCTCCTTGGGTTTCCGAGGCAGTATCACTACGGAAGTAGGATTGCCCAACCTTCCTTCCGAGGAGTGGCTGGTGGGTTTGAAAATCATATTTTCTAAACTGTACATCAAATCAATCACCTGTCTTATCAACTCAAACAAGAGGTAAATCTAGAACATTTCCTGCTCTTTGTTTATCTACACTGCTGCCTGCTTTTTCAACTTCATTCCCCATTTCTTCTGCTTGTTAAAAAAAAAAAAAAAAAGGACACCCTTTGTCATCGAGTCAGTTCTGAATTGTAGTGGCTTTCCAAGGCTGTAAATCTTTACAGAAGTAGATTGCCTCATCTCCCTCATGCTTCGCTGGGAAGCAGCTGGTGGGTTTGAACCTCTGACCCTCTGGTTAGCCAAATGTCTTACCCACTAGGCCACTTACTTTAGCAAGACCCAAAAGGTTGCAATTTCCTGAAAACACTACGGAGTTTTGTAACTCTGTGTTCTACTACTGTGAACTCTGTATTAAGTATTTTTCTTTTATTTACTCTCTTCATAAAATAAGACATTTTTAAAACATTTTCATATGTGAACCACTCTGTGAATCCCAGGTAAACTTAATCATTCTCTCCACAGTGCTAATAACAAACTCTTACTGTGGTTTTATTATTACTTTTCTTATTATGTATTCGACTATTCCTATTATATGTTAATCTCTTCTAGACTAAGACTTCAATGTGGTCAGAGGCAATCAAAAAAATCAAATTAATCAAAATAGTAACATTTGTATTATATATAACATATAACTAATGAAATACAGAGAAACACCTTGAAGATAGAGGTTCATATAAAATATAAAATGCAAATGCTCTTTAGTAATCTGGATTTTAGAAATAATTAATGATAAACAATTAGAAAGAAAATGGCCATCTCCAAAATAGATATAACTCTTTGTTTTCAATGAATTTTGCCATATCCAATAACACCATTATTAGAGATACTTTAAGGAGACAGAATAGCTATTACTGTGGAATAGTGGTAAACCTAATTATATTTGATTTAGTCAGAATTAATTAGATTGGTAAATTATAACATGCAATGAGAGTTTTTCTTCCTAAAATAAAAAGTATACTATTTAATACATTATTTCTATAAAAATTGTTTTGGAAAGAAAGAGAAAATAATACAGTTTTGTCAAAATTGATAATTTATTGTATATTTGAATTATAACTTTGAATTCAGGTATAGTTAATTAAAGATTACATTTCTTAGAAGACTTTTCATACATAATATTTAAGAATATTATCCTAAGGCAACTACATTTAATTAGATGGATTCATAAAGAAGAAAAAGAATCTGGCTTTCAGACCAATATGACAATAAATAGGATATCTTTAGGGTTGATTTCAAACCTTTTAGGAAATGACACATTAATCAACTTGACTAATCTTGTATATTACATTTTCAATTTTCTGGAATTATTTATTGATTCTTAGATGGTGGCTGGGAAATGTATGATGAAACCGCTCCACAGGAGTTAAAGTTCTTTTCTTTTCTGCTAGGAATTCCAAGCCATGCTTCAGTGGCTCATGTCTGTAACATTGTGCTGGACCAATAAATGCTGCAGTAATTAATGTCCATCTAAAACTTGAACTATTGATATGGCAACTTTATGCTTTAGATTTTCTGTAAGTGTTTACATTTAATCTTTTCTCTCCTTTGTTTCCATAAGTATAATCACCCTTCTCATACCATACATCCTAACTTGGGGTCACAAAATATGATTACCATCACATTTAAATATGGTTAGTAAATAAATACTCAAGTATGATTTAGTACCAGTAGTTTGAAGGAGCATTGGTGCACAAAACTGTCAGCTACTAATACAAAGTTTGGTGGTTTGAACACACCAGTCACTCCATGGGAGAAAATGTGATGTCAGCTTCTCTAAAGATTGCAGCCTTGGAAGACCTATGGGGCAAATCTACTCTTTCTTGTAGGGTTGCTATGAGATGGAATCAACTTCAGCACATGAATTTCGTTTTTTTTAATAGTTTGCAAACCCTGGACTGTACAAAGGTTAAAGAGTTTGGCTGCTGACTGAAAAGCTGGTTAAAGTTCATACTTGTAGTTTAACACAAGTACTTATTCATTACTTATGCATAAAAATCCTTTTCTATATGATGATACATTCAGTGAGGACCACAAAGCAGTTTATAATTTGCTTTGTTGTTGTTGTTATGTGCCGTCAAGTCAGACCCGACTCATAGCGACCCCTCCTTGGGTTTCACACTTTACAAATAAACATTAACTGGGTATGTGGAGATTATCATGGCTTTAGTTCTGGGAATTTAATCAGCTATAAATGAGATATTTCATTCATAAAACACATTTTTAGGGGCTATTATAAAATAAATCATTCTAGGTTTTTCTCTAAAGCAATTTCTATTTCCTTTATCTTAAAGCAGCACAGGTGCACCCTAGTCACTTGAGACAATGCCTCAGATCTTTGGCTCATTTTCACCATCAAATCAATAAAGATAAGCAAGACCCCTTTTTGGAAAATAAGAAATTATTATATGACTTAGACATCTAGAAAATTAAAAATGGAAAATTTTTATGGTTAGTAGTTTTATTCCCCAAATATTAATAGTGTTATTATTTTTATTTTCTAAAACATGTTAAGAATGCTATTCCATGGTGACTTTATTTAACACTGTAATTTACAAAAGAGAAAAAGAAACTGAACTTCAACTGCATGTTTAAGTAGAATTTCAGTTGACTTTAGAGTTGTTCAATTTCATATCTTAGAACACCTTTGAAGAGCCTGCTTGCCCTGCTAAGAAGACAGAAATATTGATCATATCTTACACATAGTAAGTGTTGAAAAATATCTGCTGACTTAGTGATAGAAGATTCATCAGTACATCAATGATAGAAGATAGGAAGATTATCTTAATGGACTTCTATTGGAATCTGCTGACACTTTCTATTTTAATACAAAGTGATTATTTTATTACTATTTAGATGGATGTAACATCTTCTACTTGGCAGAAGGAAGGTTGGGCAATCTACTTCCGTAGTGATACTGCCTCAGAAACCCAAGGAGGGGTCGCTATGAGTCGGGTCGACTCAATGGCACATAACAACAACAACAACAACAACTTGGTGGAAAATATGCCAATTATTATGTCTTCACTATTTTGAAATATTTCACTCACCTCTTTAGGAGCATCAGCTTCAATGAATTCAGAATAAATCATCTTGGCTTTGGAAGCAATTTTTTCTATACTTTCTGTTTTCTTGAAGTCTTCACAGGCAAGCCAGAACTCTACATTTTCTTCACTAAACTCTGATTTTAGAAATGTTTTAAAAGCTTCTAGACCAGCTATAAAATATATAAGAAAAACTTTTATTTAGTATCATAACAACAGTTATGTGACCAAAATGACAATATAATATACTGTGAGGATTTATTAAGTATTCACTGACAAATATTTATTAATCTCTATAAATACAAGAACCATATGCTTGCTTCAGTTTCTGAATTCAGAAAATCCCATTTTTAATCAATAATCCTAAATATAAAATGTTTATATTTCTCTACATATTTTCTCCAGTGACAAAGAAGACCTTCACTTTTTCTTTCTTGATCTGAAAAATCTAGGAGTTATATTTAGGAGTAGGTCTTAATGGTAGTTATTTCATTAGAAACTCCATAGGCTTTGCTTTTTAGATGTGTTGCACTAAGCCTAGGTCCAGTTAATAGTGTGATACTAACTTCATAGTAAGAACATGTTTTTGCTATGACCTGGTGAAAAAACACATTACGATGCTAATGAGTTAGAATGCATAATCCAAAGCATAAAGTTGCCATAACAGTAGTTCAAGTTTTAGATGGACATTAATTATTGCAGCATTTATTGATCTAGCACAATGTTACAGACATGAGCCACTGAATCATGGCTTGAAATTCCTAGCAGAAAAGAAAAGAACCTTAAAGCAGAGGAGGAATGGCTCTCATTTATTTTTTGGAATGGATATATTAGCCAATTATAATCTCAAAATCAAGATAGTAATTGTTGAAGATATTTGATGTGTGGTTATAGCTAATTTTAAGTCCGAAAGGTAAATGAATGGGCTTTTTCCCAATATTACCTGAAGTAAGACAGTGATTCTTCTGACGTTCTCTTTTGATTACCTGTTCTTACTTAGCCTACACTTAGTGTTTACCTCCTGTGGTTGTTGTTAGGTGCTATCAAGTTGGCTCCAACTCACAGGGATCCCATGTACAACAGAACAAAACACTGCCCGGTCCTGTGCCAGCCTCACAATGTCTGCTATACCTGGACCCATTGTTGCAGCCACTGTGTCAATCCATCAAGTTGAGGGCCTTCCCCTTTTTCACTGACTCTCCACTTTACCAAGCATGAAATCCTCCTCCAGGGAATGGTGCCTTGTGACAACGTGACCAAAGTAGATGAGAGGAAGTCTGGCCATTCTCGTTTCCAAGGAGCATTTTGTCTGCGCTTCTTGTGTTCACCTCCTACTCTCATATTCTCCTAAGCACACCCTGCTCCAGAAACTTTGGACCCAGGAACTGAAAACTGAGGCCCACTTACCTGCAGGCTTGTTTACTTGGTTTGACTAGTACATTTTTAAAATGCAATAACTCTAGGAAGGACTTGCTCTCTGTGATTCCCATAAGTCCCACCTTTCCACATTACCTTACTTCAGCCAAATTTACACATTTATCCTTTGCTTCCAAAGATTTTTGAGTTTGTTACCACTTACTTAGACTTTACTTCCCTACTTCCCTCATCAAAATGTGCCCTGAAGTATTTTTCTTTGGTAAACTAGAGCTCATTTGAGAAGGTAATTCTTGCAAATGTTTTTTGTCTGAATATAGCTAAGAGTGTGCCTCTAGTTAGAAAGTAAGTTAGCAATAACAAATCAGATTTTCTCTAGTGAATTAATTAAGTCATATAATGCATTTTCATGGTTGCCCCCTTCCGATAGCAGTATCTGCTTAAGTTATATTGTGTGTTTTTGATAAGGAAAACCTACATCAGTCCTTTTGCAACCTAGAGGGATTTGCCTTTCAAAACATCTGGGTTATTGCCACTTGCTACAAGCATCCTGTTTGCATGATGTCAAAACAGCTCTTCTCTGACTGCAGGCTCAGAGAGTCAATCCTTCCATTCCCAAAACAAGGAGGAAATAAGTTTATGGATTACTTGGAGACCAGAAAAAATTGAGAAGAGAAAAATAAAATATGAAAGTTTATGGAGAAGGTGCCTAAGTCAGTTAGTCGTTCAGGGGTCACTGCAAATAGGGAGTAAAATAAATGAAGTTTAGAAAGGGAAACAGCAAGGAACTTCATGGAGCAAGATTAAAGTGTCCAAAAGCACTGGATTTAAAATGGATCCGATTTTTTTTTAAATTTGAAATAGGTGAAATAAGAAGTCATTGCAAAACATGATCAAATACAGTACCAATTAAAATTCTCAGTAGAAATATTTGAGAATGTGGATGACATTCATTATGTGAGTGCTGTATAGAAATTCAACTACTCACAGGTTCCTTGCATTTAAAAAAGTACCCAAGAAGATCTTGTGACATAGATTAGGTTATAAATATCCACTTATTAGCATTGAATTAGAATTTGCTCTATAATTTGGTCAAAGTAAAGATGAATTTAGGGGTCTAAACAGAAAAAAAAATTTCATTTAAGCAGAGAATGAAGTATACTTTAATAATACTGAAAAAAATATTGTAGATTCACGATTGGCAATATTTTAGATGTGTGCTATTAAAGCATATGAAGTTTTTGACCCGTAAGGATTATCCAAATGCATCCCAGAGTGATATGAAGTTAGAGATAAACAATGATCATTTCCTCCCATTCTATCATTTTAATGAAGGGCTAATCTAACTAACAATAATGCTCTTCTTCCTTCCTTTCATCACTTGGTTTAAGACACAATGGTACAGAATAAACAACTAAAGCCAGGGTTAGTTATCTCTGCTTGGACACAATATTTTATTGAACTATTCTTCTATATAATTTGAAAGTTCAAAAGATGCCAAATGATTTTGGGATAATGCCCCACGTACAACAGAAGTAATATTATCTTAGGGCCATCATCACAGTGTGGAATCAGCTGGTTAAATGCAGTATGCAGTAAGTAAACAATTGGTGGATTCGCAAAACTGTTCAATAATTTAATGCATTGTTTAGCTGTATAAAGAATTAAAAAACATGCAAGTTTTTTTTTTTTTCCTGGTATTATAAAAAGTAAAACCAAACAGTTGTTCAGATGAGTTTATGACTTTTCTACCTTATGTGGGTATGAAATATCAAATCCCAGGAAGTATGCAGATGGAGTATTTGCCTTCATGTCAACACCCTCCATACTTGTTCTGTGATACTGCTATACAAAACTCTTCTAACAATTCTTCTTGAGCTAGTGAAGTCACAACCTGCAGAGACACCTTCATGAGGATTTAGCAAATCTGATTTGTCCTATTGGGTATACACTTAAAGAAAAAAGAAACAGAGCTCTGGTGGCGCAGTGCCTAAGGCATTTCTTTGACTGCTAACCAGAAGGTTGGTGGTTCAAATCCACCACCTGCTCCACGGAAGTAAGATGGGTCAATCTACTTCCATAAAGATTTACTACTTTGGAAATCCAGTGGGGATGGCTATGAGTTAGAATGGACTCGATAGATTTGGTTTGGTTTTTGTTATTGAAACTTTATATAAAAATGCAATTCCATATCTTTGATGTCTACAATGTTTGTCCTAAGGTGGATTCTGGGAGTTTTGTGAGATATTTTAAGCAGCTGGTTTAAATTTCTCATCTAAAAATCAAACAAGCTCAGTATTTTATTTCATTTAATTACCTTTTCTAATATTCTTTTATTTGGCTTCATGAATTAAAATGAAAATATCATTTGATTAGTACAAACAATTTTTTAAAATGTAGCCATTGAGTTGATTCTTACTGAAGGTGACCCCATGTATTACAGTAAAACTGCTCCAGAGTGTTCTTGGCTGTAATCTTTACAGAAGCAGGGCACAAGCCTTGCTTCTGTGGTGCTGCTAAGTGGGCTCCATCCACCAACCTTTCAGTTAGTAGTTGAGTGCAAACCGTTTGTGCCAGCCAGCGACCTTTTTGTTTTGAAAACAATACTACATTTTAAATAAAATTTTCTATGTATTTCTCTATAGTGTTCCACTCTCATCTCCCCCATATGCAACAGGACTATTGCAAAGCAGGATTATTTATGACATAAACAAAAGATCTAGATACATTTGTATCTAGATGACTATTAAGTCATTATATTATAATATATAATATTTATAATAATCTATAATAATATTATACATAATGACTATTTATATATTATTAAGGCCCTGGGTGGCAGAAATGGCTAAACACTAGACTACCAGCTGAAAGGTTGGTGGTTCGTCACTCCGAGGTAGCTCAGAAGATAGGCCTAGCCCTCTGCTTCTGAAAGGTCACAGCCTTGAAAATATTATGGAACAGCTCTACTCTGCATACATGAGACCATCTTGATTTGGAATGAACTCAATGGCAACTCACAACAACATTGGGTATAATTATTTTGTGTCAATCCTGAGATGCTTTATTTTTAACTAATTTAATTCCTCTGTTGGCCATCATATTAAGTACATACACATATATATATGCACAGTACATATTTGTATACACATATATACATTCACATTTATTTTTGTATTCATAAGAATAAATGTTATCTCAGTTGAAATAAATATTTAAAAAACTGTTAGCCTACAAAATTTGAAATAAGTGAGATATTTAAATTTTCAACTTTTCAAAAGTTTGCTTGTTTCTTTCAAGTCATACTTAAGTCAGTAATTATATGCATCTAATAATAGTAAATCCAAGGAAAAGGCAAAATTTTTATCTGCTATTTGGAAATTTCCTTCTGCTTTAATGTTTGGAATTGCTATAATTTTGTCTTATTTTGGGCCCAAACTAATTCCTTTAGACTCAGCCTGTATACATTTATAGGACTATTAGGAATCTTCAAATATTTAATCAAACTCATACCTTATAGTATACCTGTAACTTTAAAAAATTAACTTTTCATACTTAAGCATTACACTGTTTAAGGAGCTCTGGTGGCATAGTGCCTAAGGCATTTGACTGCTAAGCAGAAGGCTGACGATTCAAACCCACCTGCCACTCCTCAGAAGGAAGGTTGGGCAATCCACTTCTGTAGTGAAATCACCTCAGAAACTCAAGAAGCGGTCAGTATGAGTTGAGTCTAACTCCATGGCACGTAACAACAGCAACAACAGTTGGATCTTACCTTGGCTGGCTAAAAGTGTGTCCATGTTTTCTGACCAGGCCATTGCTTCTGAGGGTGGTGACCTGTAGAAACAACATCTACCCTTGACAATAGCATTGTGATCTTTTTCTTCTATGACCTCTAGTAATATTTGATTATGGTATTTGTTCAATTATCATTTATATGAGATTTGCACTATCAAGAAAACCAACACAAAACTCAATAAATTATATATTTTCCTACAGTAGGTAGAACAACGACACAAAATGTGATGTGATTCAACTGACACTTATAACAATATTTGAATTCTGATAAAGGGACCAGGCATTATTACTCATTGTTATTTACAACCATAGTAAATGTCTTTTCAACTATGAACATATTACTTATGCATCTCAGGGAAGTTTGAAAAATATTTTATCAAAACTTTCTAACATATTGGAAATCTTTGTTCCCAGTATTTTGAGAAGTCTTTTTACACTCTGAGGCAGACTTTATTTCTCCTTAGACTGGTATACTTCTTGTACTGGGCTTATTTATTTAAATCTAGGCATCTGTCAGGATGGATTAATATCTTTTCCAAAGCAGTCAAAAATGTATAGACTTAAGTATTCTGAAGAAGATATACTTTCAAAGACTTGATGCAGAAAGAATAAATTAAGTTTAAAATATGAAATTCTGAGATGCAAATATATCATACATTGTTCTCCTTAATAAACAAAGGATCTGATGAAATAAGCTCCCATTCATAGAAGCACCTGCTGCCCAGGCAAAAGCACCTTATATTATGGAGCTGTGGTGTGCCAAGTGACCTAATTATAGAAATGGATGATCTAATTTAAGGTTTATTAAAATTGTTGTTAATAAAATACAGACTCTCATATCTAGCCATTCTTATAAATTTTTACATTTGCATATCAAGGTGATTAATCTTAACTATGTTAGCATGAAACAATCTCTCTGTGTTCATCTCTTATGACTTTCTGTAATTTACTGCAGTTTTTATGATTTCTTGTTAGGATGGAGGATCATGCTCCCTTCTGTTGTTGCAATTGTCATCATAATTTCAGATAATAGTGCCTGTCCTCATAGAAGACATATACAGGGGACTATGTGACTGGCAACTCATTTTGCTATTTTCTATCACTTACAATTCTTTCTTATCTCAAATTTCTTTTCCTAGTTTTGGACAGCTGATTTCTCTGTCTCTCTCGATTTACTAAAACTTGGGGACACAAGATTATCTGTAAAATCATTATGAATTTTTTTTTCAAATGGACATTTTAAACAAATTATATTGTTCAATTTCCATAGTTTATATTGAGTTTTTATGCACTAAAAACCTGTTATGTGAATAATAAGCTTATGTTGTATTTCATGATATTAGGTCCAATAGTATTTCTATCAAATAGTACTAAAATTATAATGTTCTTATTGTTGTTATGTGCCATCAAATCGAACCCAACTCATACCGACCCCTCCTTGGGTTTCTGAGGTGGTATTACTAAGGAAGTAGATAGCCCAACCTTACTTAAGGAGTGGCTGGTAGGTTTGAACTGCCAGCCTTCTGGTTACCAGTCAAGTGCCTTAGGCACTATGCTACCAGAGCTCCTTAAATTCTAATAAGACCACTTAAAATGCATGTTCTTTAAAATTAATGTCTCTTTAGTAGATTTAAGTTTGACCTGTTAGCAGTGTTCAATTTAACAGCTACAGTGGAAAAGGGACAATGATTTTCAAGATGTTGGTAGATGGCAGTGATGGCAGGTTTAGAGAAAAATATAGCAAATGGCATGAGCTTCAAGGTCCTAGGGTGTTCTGGGCCAGGGTAGCAGAAAAATGATGGGAAACATCAACTGAGAGTGATAGTGTAAATTTCATTTACAACCCTGAGATTTGTGAGGTAGGAGAAAATGGATAACATTCATTCTAAAAGCCTAAATTGAAATGTGTCCACTAGAAATAACACTAACCTAACCCCTATGTTATGTTATGTGCCATCAAGTCGGACCCGACTCATAGTGACCCCTCCTTGGGTTTCCGAGGCAGTATCACTGCGGAAGTAGATTGCCCCATCTTCCTTCCGAGGAGTGGCTGGTGGATTTGAACTGCCAGCCTTCTGGTTAGCAGTCAAGTGCCTTAGCCACTATGCTACCAGAGCTCCCTAACCCCTATAAGTGGTTATAATTCCATTTGGGATGGGTTTTCTTCATTATGTTAATGATGAAGTGTTAAGTCAATACCTTTTGAGATATAAAAGAGCAGAGAAGCAAGCAGAGTTGAGGGAAAATAAGAGATACCAAGCCAAATGAGATCACCAAGGAACAGAAGCTAAAAGGAGACAAAGACCTTTTCCTAGAAAAGTAGAGAGAGACAGCCTCCTACAGCTTACACCCTGCATTCAGGTTTCTAGCTTGAAACTGTGAGAAAATAAATTTCATTTTGTCAAAGCCATTCACTTGTGGTATCTCTGTTGTAGTAGCACTATATAGCTAAGACAAAGGCTTAGGAACAAGTCATGTCCTTTACAGAGAGCCAAGTTTGAGTTAATGCAGAATCAAAAGCAATATTTAGTGAAGAACTGAATATTGATTATGGGAGTCTGTGAGGAATGGGTATTCAATAAATGGTAAACCAAAAAAAAAAAACAAACTCACTGCCATCAAGTCAATTTGACTCATAGCAACCCCTCCTTGGGTTTCTGAGGCATTATCTCTACAGAACTAGATTGTCCAATCTTCTTTCTGAGGAGTGGCCTGTGGATTTGCACGGCCAGCCTTCTGGTTAGGGATTAAATGTCTTAGGCACTATGCAAGCAGAGCTCCCCAATAAATAGCAGGTATTTGTATTATGTTCATTAAGTTAGTGAGAGAGTGAAAACAGAAGAGGGAAAAAAAAGAAAGGAAGAAACCAAAATCTAGGAGATAGTGTGGAACCAAAAACAAAATAAAATTTCCTAATGGTTTGAATCAAAGAGAGATAGTAGATTATTGATATTCTACAGTATAGTTACAGATATAGAATAGTGCAGATAATAAAATTAAAGATACTAGAATAGTCTAGTATTAATTAATTTCCACGAAATGCTGATATTGCTACAAAGGGAAAAGTTACCCTTCAACTTTCTGAAGAAATACCTTAGCTAGTGTGTGATGATGCCAGGAATGCCCTTGACTAACTGCTTTATAGCCTATGTCTCACTGAGAAAATTCAATTCTGCTATCTATTATCCTGAAAGGGTTTGTGGTAGCTAAAATATTTATTTTCCAATAATCAGTCGATATGCCTCGGAAACTCAAGGAGGGGTCGCTATGAGTCAGATATGACTCGATGGCTATGTGTTTGGTTTGGTTTTTTGGTATTTGCTATTTGCTTTTAAAATTTTTCAATTTTGGGTTTCTGAACATTCATAATTCTGTTGATCAAATTATTGCTGTATATAAATAAGTGAAATAATTAATGTTTATCATAGCACCATAATTCACAACAAAATATTAGATGGTACTGAAGGTTGGGCAATCCTACTTCCGTAGTGATACTGCCTAGGAAACCCAAGGAGGGGTCACTATGAGTCGGGGCCGACTCGACGGCACATAACAGCAACAACAACAACGACGGCACATAACAGCAACAACAACAACAACAATGTATAGCAAATTTGCTAAGTAGGTCATATACTTTCCCTCATCTAATCTTGACAATGACAAAGTATGTATTGTTTCCATATTCCTAATGAGTAAAGAGCCTCAAAGTTGTGATAACAAATACAGTATCACACATATATTAGTTGACAGAGTTAGTGTTCAAACATAAGTGTATCTGCTGGTAACCTAAACTCTTTCTATACTTTTTCCTAAAACAGATGAGTTAATATGGATACTTTTCTATTTTATTCATGTTTGGGAACTTTCATAATAAATAATTGTAAAGTAATTTTTCTGCAATATTTATCACACTTCACACAAACAGTTCCTCCAAATAAGATTTAAGTTGCACTAATTGGCTACTCTATAGAACGTTTTCAGAAGACAAAGATTCTTAAAGTTTATCAAATAAAAATACAGTATTTTCTATGTTAGCCCTCAGTGAAAAATATGATTTCATATTTTAAAACATGAAATTCCAGTATATAAATGTTAAGAGAGCAACCCATAAAAAAAAACTTGGAAAAAAAGAGGGTCGCTGGTTTGAACTGTATTGAATTAGTTGAATTTTACCTGTGTGTGTTATCTTAAGCAAATGGACAATTTGCTCATTCCTTCAGTTCTCATTTCCCCACCCAATTTTATTTGAATTTCAGTTGTGACTCTAATAAAGGATTTGTCAGCTGGCTTTTCTCAATTTTGTAAATTTTTAATTTCCTATGAAATTGTTAAGCATAATGAGAGTAACTTTCTTGTGTGTCTCATTTGCCATGAAAATTCACCATGTTTCTGGAGCCAAAATTGCACTTAGTATTTCACAGGGTTTTGGATGATTTCCTTTCTGTTTTCTTCATTAAGCAAGTGCCATCAAGGCCAGCAGTACCCATATTATGTGTCCAGAGAAGAGCAGGGCCAGATGGGAACTGCGTGAAAGCTACCAGTTATCTTGCTAATTGTGTCAGCTAGAACCAGTTGTATTGCATTAAAAAATGAGGATTACAACGATTTAGCTGTTCACACTCAATTAGCAGTGTGCTGGAGAAAGGAAAATTCAAGCAAAGAGTCCATGTGCTCAAGGAAGTGACAGCTGCTTATTTACTCCACATTTAACACCCATTTTAAAGTTCCTCAGTAAATATTTCGATAACAAAGAATTTGTGCAATTATTATATTCACCTCCTGTAAAAACTCATTGAATAATTTTGAAAAGCATCACAAAAGGAGTGTTCAGTGATCTTCTACCACTTTATAACCTCCATTTATCTTAGCAAGTATAGACTGCAAGAACAAACTGACTATTGTTGGCATATTTAGAAAAGAAGAAGAAATCAACAGAGAAAGAGAAAAAAAATTAAATCAGGAAGACAAGAATTAGCCTATTTATCATAAATGAAGGAAACCAAACATCTAGACTAATGATGACTCAAGTGTTTCATTTGTACATCTTCTGAGATAAAAATAGCTTTAAATAGCAACTCACTTCACTGGCATTTTTCGTTCCACTGTCTGACTGTCACAGATGATGCCGAATGAATTTCTCTTTCTGACTGATCTTCAAGCTGAAGATAATGTGACAGCAGGAACATTACAATTAGTATGCAAATACCTATCCCCTGGGTTACAAATTGGCATTCGCTAAATAATGCTATTCTCAGCTTTTTTTATTTTTGTTGTTAACTTTTCCCTGGTCAAAACACTTAAACTTCTAAGTAACTAATAACTCTTTGAATGAATGTGACATTTTTTTCAAGTTCTATAGGATAACTGAAATAAATCCCATATGAAAGCTTGGTTTCTAAAGTTCATATACATTAGTTTACAAGACAACAATTGTTCATAGGAACTTAAATCAACTCAGAAAAACTGTATTTATATCTATCAATCTATAGAGTGTATATATAAATATACATATATTACGTATTTATTATATATATGCACATATATGTAAATATAAACACACACCTTTTTTTAAAAGTCCACGTTAGGTCTTTGATCTATCTAAATGATCTTTTTTTTTTTCTTCTTTTGCTCTTTGATTTTCAGAAAATCTGAGGAAGACGTTAATTTTAATGCACTTAATTTAAACAATTATATATGTTTAAGTAATTTAAAAATTGTATACAATGGCTTAAATAGCAAAGCATTGTCTTCTATTTTCATATTATTCAGTTTTTTATTGTTTAATAAAATACAATTATTTATTACTTTTAACCATGAATCTCAAAGCATATTTTCCCATTATTTATCAATACTAGTGTTTAAAGTGGATTCTTGGTGGCACAGTGATTAAGTGCTGGGTTACTAATCGAAAGATGTGGCAGTCTGCCTCCATAAAAATTTACAGCCTTGGAAACCCTATGGTGCAGCTCTAGTCTGTCCTATTCGAGTTGCTATGAGTCATAACTGACTCAAAAGCAATGAGGTTTTTGTTTGTTTTTAATGTTTAAAGGTGAATGCATTTATCAAAATAAAGGCCATATCAACATATTATTATTTGTAGTCAATGTTTTATACACCTAATGCAATGCCTTATCAAGCCTTTTACTTCAGTATAAAAGAGTGGTATAAAAGAGCTCTTTGGTAGTAAAATTCCACCAGTATCTATGTAAATTAATCACTCTTGAAAGATAAATAATGTTCAGGGTGGAAAAAGAAAGGAGGCCGAAGGAGGAACTGCCTTATGGAGTTCTCTCTGACTTATCAGTGAAATACCCCATTTAGTTCATTTTACAGAAGTGCCAGGGGATTGTGAGTGCCCCCGGGATAATGATACTGACATAAATAGAAGAATTGACCTAAAAAGTCAGTACATCATTAAGAAGGGATATCCTCAATTAGCTCAATTCATTTTGTTAATTCAAGTTCCATTAAGTAAAGTTCTTATGTTATGTAAAAACTGAATCATTGAATATATTTTGACTTTTGTTTTGCTGAGGGCTGGAGGTAACATGAAGTACTAACTTCATAATATCTTGAACATAGTACAGTTTGGAAAATAAACTGTTAAAATTTAAAGACCCCCTTGGCAAAGACCATGTTCACTCTGTAAACAATATTAACTATTTATGTGCTTATTTTAAATTAAAACTTTAAAAGAACAACAAAAATACAATTTCTATTTTGAGTTCAACAGAATTGCAGTATGTCATTTCTCATAACCTCTTCCACAACTTATAATTACTATTTGTTTAATATGCAAGTTCTATACTTTTTCAAGGTCTTTAATTGTTCAGGAGAAACTAGTAGGAATTATATTTGTCAAAATAAACGTTCATGATATAATCAGCAGCTGAGAAAATAAACTTCTTAGGCTGAGTGAGTCTTTATTGTGTTCAATACATATTGGCAAAGGATTGCCATATATAGATATTGTAGTATTTAGTATATTAGTTCAAGCACCTCTGGTGGTTCAATCAAAAACTCACTGCCATCAATTCAGATCCGACTCATACTGACCCCTTCTTGGTTTTCCGAGGCAGTATCACTATGGAAGTAGATTGCCCAATCTTCCTTCTGAGCAGTGGCTGGTGGGTTTGAACTGCCAGCCTTCTGGGTAGCAGTCAAATGCCTTTCGACACTATGCTGCCAGAGATCCTTCTGATGGTACAGTGAATGGCTAAGGCATCTGGCTGCTAACTAAAGGTGGCCACCAGCTGCTCCACATAAGAAAGATGAGATAATCTGCTTCTGTAAAGATTCACAGCTTTGGAAACCTTTTGGGGCCGTTCTAATCTGTCCTATAGAGTGGCTATGACTCAGAATCTAATGGACAGCAGTGGGTTTGGATTTCTTAGTTCAAGGAGTTTCAGTTCCATTATCAGAGTTTATGCCCAATGTGGTAGACTGAACAATGTTTCCCTCAGATATACAAGCCCTAATCCCTGGAACCTGTGGATATGCTGTTTTATATGGCAAAAGGACTATTGATTAGAGTGGATTATCTGAGTCAGCCCAGTGTAGATGACAGGGTTTTTGTAAGAGAACAGTGAGAAGGTTAAAGTCAGTAGTAGATGTGGGGACAGAAGCAAGAGGTTGGAGTGATGCAAGAGTACAGCCAAGATACAAGGAATGCAAGTGGACTCTAAACCAAAAAACCAAACTCACTGCCACTGAGTTGATACAGTGACCCACTTTGGGTTTCTTAGACGGTAAATCTTTAAGGGAGTAGATTGCCCAGTCTTCCTTCCATGGAGTGGCTGGTGGATTTGAACAACTAACCTTTTGGTTCACAGTTAAATGCCTTAGGCACCATAGCACTAGAGCTCCTTAAGTAGACTAGAAGCTGAAAAAAGCAAGTAGAGATTCTCCCCTTAGAGCTTCCCCAAAACTCAAACTCACTGCATCAAGTCAATTCTGACTCATAGTGACTCCTTCTTGGGGTTTCCTAGGTGGTATCTCTATGAAATTAGATTGCTCAATCTTCCTTCCGAGGAGTGGCTGGTAGGTTTCAGCCACCAGCCTTCTGGTTAGCAGTCAAATGCCCTAGGCACTACACTGCCAGAGTCCCAGAAGGAACAAATTCTGCTGCTCTGCTTGATTTTAGTCTCATGAGGCTGTTTGGATTTCTGATCTCCAGAACTATAAGAGAACAAACATTCATTGTCCTAAACCTGTAAGTCTGGGTAATCTGTTTACAGCACCAATAGGGAACTAATACCCCCAGGAGAGCTCCAATCTTTAAACACCTCCTTAAAAGAAGATAGAAATATAATAAAATAGGCATGAATTTTCACACCAGAGCACTGATATATATGTCCTACTGTGAGCGCTTCCTGTGGAGCAGTAACCTTGGACAGGAATTTACCTCTCTGAGTCTCTTTGCTACTAAAATGGAAATACTACTTTTCTCATGCTGTTGTTGCTGTTATGTGCCATCGAGTCAGATCCTACTCATAGCGACCCTTCCTTGCGTTTCTGAGGCAGTATCACTACAGAAGTAGATTGCCCCATCTTCCTTCCAAGGAGTGGCTGGTGGGTTTGAACCGCCAGCCTTCTGGTTAGCAGTCAAGTGCCTTAGGCACTATGCTACCAGAGCTCCTACTTTTCTCATAGATTATTGTATAATAGCAAAAGGAAATATACTTATCCAAAACACCTTACATAGTACTATTTATATATATTTATTTTGTTTTCTTTTTCCTTATTTCATATTCATAGAAACCATTGTTAAGAACCACTATGGCACACTTAATGCACAATTTTTTTCTTTGTTGTGGTTGTTTGGTAATTTCAAGTTGGTTTCTATTCATAGCCATCCTATGTATAAGAGAATGAAACACTGCCCAGTCTTGTGCCACCCTCACAGTTGTTGCTATCATTGGTATATTTGAGTCCAAGCAACAATTTTACCATCATGTAATTATGGGGGTTTCTGACCAAAGGTATGAGATTTATTCTAAAAGTATTCTGAGTGCATTTATTATGAAACATATCATGGTAGGTGGTCTAGGAATCTAAAATTTTAATAAGACAGGATGAAATGAGTGATTTGGAAATTTAATATAAAGGGATATGGGTGTATGGGATAAAATTGCAAGAATGAAAGAATAAAGGTAAATAAGAGATAAACATATAGCACAATAGTGGAGGCATGAGATGATAAGGATTGGGGCAGGACAACAGTGTGGCTGTGACTAGGCACTATCAAAATGGTTCTGACCCATAGTAACCCTAGGCACATAAGAATGAAACACTTCCCTGTACAGTGCCATCCTCACAATTGTTGCTAACTTGGAGCCCATTGTTGAAGCAATTGTGTCAATCCATCTTGTTTTGGGTCTTCCTCTTGTTGTTGACCCTCTACTTTTCCAAGCATGACATCCTTCTCCAGAGACTAGTCCATCTTGATAACATGTCCAAAGTACATGAGATGAAGTTTCACCATCCTCACATCTGAGGAACATTCCGGCTGTACTTCATTTAGGACACATTTGTTTGTTCTTCTGGCAGTATGTTCATTATTCTTCACCAATACAAAGGCATCAATTCTTCATTCTTCCTTATTAATTGTCCAGCTTTTGCATATATATGAAGCATTTGTAAATACCATGGCTTGGGTTAGGGACACCTTAGTCATCAAATGATACATTTTTTTTTTAACTCTAAAGAAATCATTTGCAGCAGATTTTCCCCATGCAATATGTCATTTGATTTCTTGATTCCTGCTTCCATGAACATTGGTTATAGATTCAAATAAAATGAAATACTTGACAACTTCACTCTTTTCTCTGCTTATGGTGATTTTGTTTATTGGTCCAGTTGTGAGGATTTTTATTTTCTTAAAGTTGAGGTGTAATCCATACGGAAGGCTGAAGTTTTTGATCTTCATCAATAAGTACTTCTAGTCATTTTCACTTTCAGCGTGCAACATTGTATCATCTGCATATCTCAAGTTGCTAATGAGTCTTCCTCCAATCCTGATGCTGCATTCTTCTATATATAGTCTAACTTCTCAGATTATTTGCTGGTTGAACAAGTTGAACAGGTTGAAC